TTAAGGCTTGCACGCAAAATAAAGGCTTTGCCACAATCACTACATTTGTAGGGGGTATTTCCAGTATGGACCGACTGATGGTAACGGAGACTTGAAAGCACCATAAAGGCTTTGCCACACTCATTACATTTGTAAGGTTTCTCTCCAGTATGGATTCTCTGATGACTATTAAGGCTTGCACGCAAAATAAAGGCTTTACCACACTCACTACATCTGTAACGGTTCTTTCCAGTATGGACCGACTGATGGTAACGGAGGTTTGAATGCAACCTAAAGGCTTTACCACATTCATTACATTTGTAAGGTTTCTCTCCAGTATGCAATCTCTGATGTTTAGTTAGGCTGGAATGTGCATTAAAGTCTTTGCCACACTCATTACATTTGTAAGGTTTCTCTCCAGTATGGATTCTCTGATGTCCAGTTAGGCTTGATTGAACAGTAAAGTCTTTTCCACAGTCATTACATTTGTAAGGTTTCTCTCCAGTATGGATTCTCTGATGTATAGTTAGGTTTGAACATGAATTAAACTCTTTGCCACAGTGATTACATTTGTATGGTTTCTCTCCAGTATGGATCCTTTGATGTGCAGTTAGGCTTGAGTGGACAGCAAAGTCTTTGCCACACTCATTACATTTGTAAGGTTTCTTTCCTGTATGAATTATCTGATGAACAGTCAGGCTTCCACGGACACTATAAGCTTTTCCACACTCATTACACTTGTAAGGTTTCTCTCCAGTATGCAATCTCTGATGTACTCTTAGGTTTGAGTGCAGTCTAAAGGCTTTCCCACACTCATTACATTTGTAAGGTTTCTTTCCAGTATGTACCAACTGATGGTAACTGAGGCTTGAAGGCATCCTAAAGGCTTTTCCACACTCATTACATTTGTAAGGTTTCTCTCCAGTATGGATTCTTTCATGTATACTTAGGTTTGAATGTGTACCATAGCATTTGCCACACTCATTACATTTGTAAGGTTTCTCTCCACGATGAATTATCTGATGACTATTAAGGCTTGCACGCAAATCAAAGGCTTTATCACACTCACCACATTTGTAAGGAGTATTTCTCCTATGGACTGACTGATGGTAACTGAGGCTTGAATGCAACCTAAAGGCTTTGCCACACTCATTACATTTGTAAGGTTTCTCTCCAGTATGCAACCTCTGATGTTTAGTTAGGCTGGAATGTGTATTAAAGTCTTTGCCACACTCATTACATTTGTAAGGTTTCTCTCCACTATGAATTATCTGATGATTATTAAGGCTTGCACGCAAAATAAAGGCTTTGCCACAGTTACTACATTTGTAAGGGGTATTCCCAGTATGGACCGACTGATGATAACTGAGGCTTGAAAGTACCCTAAAGGCTTTGCCACACTCATTACATTTGTAAGGTTTCTCTCCAGTATGGATTCTCTGATGTATAGTTAGGGTTGAAAGCGCACTATATAATTTGCCACACTCGGTACATTTGTAAGGTTTCTCTCCACTATGAATTCTCTGATGACTAATCAGACTTGCACGTACCCTAAAGGTTTTGCCACACTCAGTACATTTGTAAGAATTTTTCCTGCATGCTTTCAGGTCTGTCAGTAGTGAAGGATGCATAGAATCATTCCTATATACAGGACGAATGGTGGATTGGACACTAGGAAAAACTCTCTCAAGTGGAGAAACAAAGGAAGTATTGCGGATAGACTTCTTAGCTGGATTACATTCATCAATGTTCCCTTCAGTTTGAAATGTCGTCATATCAGCCCGATGTGACTGAAACCTCAGTCCAAGCCTGTTTTTAATAGGCTCCTTTCCGGCATGCTCGCTATCAAGTTCACCTTTTCTATCAGTGAGATGTTTCCTAGGACTTATAGGCATTCCTTTGTGATTCCTTTCATCATCTCTCTGCTGACAAACAAAACCATACATCTCTTCCTGGATTTTCCTGAAGTAAAAATCTTTGATTACATGGCTTTCACATCTTCCAAATATCACTGTTTGGTCTTCTCCTCCTGTACTACTGGGTTTTGTTGGTTTCAATTTCTTGATCACATATGAAGGACAGAGATCTAAAGAAATTAAAAACACATATTTACCCTACTAATTCATCTCTAAGTAAATGTTTCTTGTTGATATCTAATATTACACCACAAGTTATGTTATACTCAACACAGTTATGTAATTCACTGAACATGATACACAATCTTCTAAAATAACCAAAGAAATAGGTTTCTTTACAACAAAATAGTTGTCACATGCAAATCAAATAAATATAAGGGTAGCCTAGTTTCAATAACCCTATGATAAAAATATTCATTGTGCAAACTTATGTTAGCTTTCAAGGAAAGAGTATTTCCATCATGATTCCAAAATGCATACCATTTGTTAGTAACAACACTGCAATCACATAACTGAGGAAAAACATACACTACACGTACTTTTACATATTCAACATAAATGCTAAAGATAACATTATAATGATAAACCATCCAAACTATTACCTAAAGAATAATCTATAGAGCCATCTGAAATTATACAAAGATACCCTTGAGAAAAATAGAGCAGCAAAAATTCATGTTTAAAAAAAACTTTCATAAAAAATAAAATAAAAAATAAAAAGAAAAAAAGAAAAAAAACTTTCCTAACTGTCATAGAACTATCTGTACCCACAGAAAACTGGCATTTGAGAACATCAATGAGTTGTGCATGTTAGTTATGCTGCATAATAAATGTGAGAAACTATCATCTGTATGTCACAATAAAAGTTAAAAAAAAAAAAAAGATTCTAAGAATCCAGAAGAAAACTAACCGTAAATAACAGATAATCCTATTATAGAAAGTGAACTCTTCCGAACTCTAAATATGCCCCCTTAAGAATGAAAAAAGAACTTTTGTTCTAGAAAGAGCACACAGATTTAGAACTAGAAACTACATGGGCATCACTGACTTTGAATATCAGGTCACAAAAAGACATAACATTATAAAGAAGAATATTAAAAGAGACTCACTGTTGGGAATTTTATGGCTACTCTATAACAGCTGATTCACAGAGCAATTTCCTATGTATGCAGGGCCGTTTGTTCATCCAGTATATGGGCCAACAATATAGAAATAGAGTCTGTGCCTTGGCCATTGATTAAGGTGACGACAGATGTTTCCAAATAAAAACATGGAATATGATGCAGGCAAAAGAATATCTCATAGGAAAGATGCCAGAAAGTTATATCTTATTAAACAAAAGTAACTTGAGTCTTCAGTACAAAACATGCAATATATTAAGCCATCTAACAGCACGAACGTGTTTTAAAGAAGCTTGTGGGAAATACCAATACACATTCAAATAACAGCAGTAGACTCAAGGATTTAGGGACATAACCCTAGTTTATATAGAAAGTGACAAAAACAAAATTGAAACCTGGACCTATAGACTCAGATGACATGTTCAGAACCATGATTGCCCACCTAGGCAATACAGATCACAAAGGTTTATAGCAGGAATTTAGAGAAAAATACTTATTAGTACCAGGAATGTACAAAGATACTTCCAGGGACATATGACAGCTAAGCTGTGTCACTATGACAGTGTTACACAGCCATCAGCCTGGAACTGGTTTCTGAGTTATCTACCACCTACCAAGGGTGACTTCTGAAGAGTTAAAAAATCTGAACATAGCTCTAACTTGTAAAAAGATTAAATGACTAAACAAAAACCATTCAAGATAGAAGTAATAAAAAACATCACTACAAAATTCTATCATTTAAAAAAGCTAACACCAATCTTTCTCAAATACCTCCCAAAAAACTAAAGACAAGAAAACTCTTCCAAATATCCAGGAGGGCAAAAATGCCCTAATAGCAAAGTGAATAATAATGAAAAAATTATTAATAAAGTACAAACCAAGTTAAGTAATACACTGAAAGGATTATCCACCATAACTAAGGGGGCTATGTCCTTGGAAAGAAAGGTAGTTTCCACACAGAAAAATTATTCAGTGTAATATCGTACAAAGACAAATGAAAACCTCAACTGACACAGCAAAAGCATTTGAGAAAAGTTAGCTTTTCACGATTAAAAAAAAAAAAACCCTCAATGAACTAAAAAAAAAAAAAAAAATCAAGTCCCTCAATGTAAAAGAGGACCTATATGACAAGCCCACAGCTAACAACACACTGGTGAAAGACTAAAAGCCTTTACTCTAACATCAGGAACAAGTCAGTGATACCTACTCTCAATGTATCTATAAAATATGGTATTGGGAGGTCAAGGAGAAAATGACACAGATGATAGAGATTTTGTTGTCTCCTGCAACCACATCGAAGTTGTGACAAACACAAAACAAACAGCAAGCAGAGTCACAAAGGATCTAGATAAGCAAGGCCTATAACTAGGGAGAGAAATAAATCACCCTGCAATGGTAGAACGTAGAAGGAGGGGGTGAAGACATGAGGCTGCCCAGTTCCAAGCGGCTGAATGGGACAGAGGCTGTGGAGGTGGCAGCTGGCAGCTGCAGATGCCTGTTAAAGGGGCTGTGTCCCTGAGCTGACTTTTGCAGTGACGGATCTGCTTGCTTTGAGCTCCAGTGCTGGGTAGGCTACGCAGGGGAGACCAGGGACTTACAGGGGGACACTGAGTTCTTGGAGTGAGGGCCAGATGCAAGGCTCTGTCCTTGGCAGAAGTGCCAGCAGTATCCATTGTTCCTCTGTTGAGTCCTCTAGGCTCCCAGTGTCCTGAGGCAGCGTAGCCAGAGAAGTCATCGAACTGGATAATAGAGGTAGTTCCACCCAGGATTCCCTTAAACTCCGCCTCCTCCAACTCAAGGTCCTTCCCAAGCCACGTCTAGTTGTGTCTTCGGGAGTCCAATGCTCTTTCCTGAGCAGTGCCAAGATTCACACTGGTGGCAGCTAGCCTTGGTTTCTGACGTGGCCTTGAGGCAACTATAAGCACAGCATCTGTGGATTACTTGCTGATTCTTAACAAGTGGCCCAGAGGGGTACAGGCTAGGGCTAAACCACTATAAGGACTGTGCCACTGGACACCTACTACACCAAATCACACTAATAAGACTGGAAGACTTAGGAGCTTTGCTTAGTACATAGAAACAGACACAGAAAGGCAGCCAAAATGGGAAGACAAAGAAACAGAAACCATGTGAGAGAACAGAACAGAGATCCACAAATAATGGAGTTAAGCAATCCAAAAGACGCAGAGTTCAAAACACTGGTTATAAAGATGCTCAATGAACTTAGAGGAAGTATAGGTGAATTCAGTGAGAACTTTAACAAAGAGATAAATATAAAAGGGAACCAGTCAGAAATGAAGAATACGTTATTTGAGATGAAGAGTATATTAGAGGGAATCAACAGAGTGGATGAAAAGATTATCAAACCATTGATATAGAGGATGAGGAAGCCAAAGACACTGAATCAGAATGGCAAGAAAAAAGAAGTCAAGACTATAATAATTTAGGGAGCCTATGGGACACAATTAAATGCAAAAACATCCATGTTGTAGGGGTACCTGAAGGAGAAGAAGGGAAACAAGAAGTTGAAAAGCTATTTGAAGAAATAACGATGGAAAACTTCCTTCACCTGGTGAAGGAAATAGACATACAACCTCAGGAAGCTCAAAGAGTCCCAAAAAAGAGGAACTCAAAGAGGCCCACACCAAGACACATTATAATTAAAATGCCAAAGGTTAAATACAAAGAAAGAATCTTAAAAGCTGCAAGAGAAAAGCAGTTAGTTACCTACAAGGGAGCGTCCATAAGACTGGCAGCTGATTTCTCAAAAGGAACTTTGCAGGACAGGCTTGACACAAAATATTCAACATGATGAAAACCCAGGATCTACAAACAAGAATACTTCTAGCAAAGCTATCATTTAGAGTCAAAGGACAGAAAAAAGCATCCCAGACAAAAATAAGCTAAAGGAATTTATCAACACCAAGCCAGTATTACAGGAAATGTTGGAGGGACTTTTTTAAGAAAAAACAAATAATCACGTATCAAAAACAGGAATAAAGAATGGTAAGAACTACATTCCTATCAACAAGTACCTCAAATGGAAAAGAATTAAGTGCTCCAACCAAAAGATAGGGTAGCTGAATAGATAAAAAAACCACACCCTTACATATGCTGCCTATAAGAGACTAGCTTCAGATTAAAAGACACAAACAAACTAAAAGGAAGGAGATGGAAAAGGATATGGCCAAGATGGAGAGGGCATTGTGCTGAATAAAAAAAGTTGGATAGAGAAGGATAAATAGCCCATGATTTCACGTGTACGGAATCTAAAGAACAAAATCAACGACAACAAAAACAGAAATAAACTCATAGATACAGAGACTATTTTGAGGCTACTAAACAGGAAAAGGGTTTGGGGAATGGTGAAAAAAGGGCAAAGAGAGTAAAAAGTTCCAAAATGGAAAGTTCCAAAAGAGACATGGATATATAAAGTGTAGCATATGGAAAAAAGTTAATAGTGTTTTAATAAATATGTAAGGGGGAAGAGGTATATTAGATTTACTGGGGTGATCACTTTGTGAGTTATATAGATCTCTACTACTATGCTGTATAACTAAAACTAATATATTGTTGCCTGTCATCTTTAATTGACCAAAAAAAAAAAATCACTGAATTGTACAATGTAAATATGAGCACCTAATTGTCTATTATATTTCAACAAAGCCGGGAAGTGGGGGAGTGAAAAGGTACTGGAAGTTCTCACCAGAATAAGTAGGCAAGAAAAATAAACATTGAAAGATATGAAATAAAAAACGTAAAAGTCAATTTGAGTTTTATACACTGTCAAAGAACAATCCTCTAGACAATTCCATTCCATTACCATATCATAATACAATAAGCAAAATAAAATTAAATTAATATAAGTAACAAAATAATTAACAAAATATAATGAAATGAAATAGAATTAAAAAAAAAATAAAACTCTTAGGTATAACCTTACGCAAGGAGGGAAAGATCTGTGTACTCTCAATGAAAAGCAATACTGGAAAAATGTAGACAAGACATAGACAAAGGCACAAAGATATTCCAAGTTTATGGACAGGAAGACAATATTGTTAGGGTGTCAACAGTAGCCAAAGTAATCAACAGATTCAATGTAATATTTAGGAAATTTACAACAGCATGTTTTGAAGAAATACAGAAATCCATCTGAAGGTTCAAATGGAATGTCAACACTCTCTAATTGAAAAAAGACTTAAATAAAAATGAAGTTCACGGTTCCCTATTTTGAAATCTGTTACAAAGCTAAACTAATCATAATGTTGTACTAGAATAAAGACAGAGAGCAGAAGGGCAGAACAGAGGAGTCAAATAAATTGAGGTAGATGAAAACAAATGATACTCCAGAGTTGTCAAGACCACTCAATGAAAAAAAAAAATAGGCAATTCAACAAAAGGTGTTGATAAAACAGAAAATAAATATAAAAAAGAATTTTGAACAATTCCTTAAAACACATGGAAAACCAGAGTAAACACAGATAAATTGAACTATGTCAAAATTACAAAATACTGGGCATCAAAGGACATACTCAACTAAGTAAAACGCCAATCCATGGAATAGGAGAAAATACGTGGAAATCATATATATCAGAGAACATTTTACTTACTATTTCGCTGATTTATTGAGAAATAATAAGGAAAAGAACAGACAGATGAAGACATACATTGGGAAACTTATCGGAGAAGGGCCAGAAACTCCCATGCCCCTGGCAACATTCTACTCTCTCCAGTCACCACAGGTTCGCTAACATGGAACACTCTCCTTTTGGGTTTTAGGGAGGTCTCATTACATAGGAATAACTGATTAAATCACTGACCATCATGACGAAACTCAATCTCTAGCCTTTCTCCACTCCCAAGAGGTCACAGGGTGAAACTGTAGTTCCGACTCTCTAATTCCATGGTTGGCTCCCCTGACAACCAGCCTTCCTGTCATTGGGGATTTCCAAAAATCACCTCAATCATATATAGAGATGTGACTGAAAGGGGCTGATTATGTATGAAAAAGACCCCCATTTCACCTCTAAGGCCCTGAAGAGACTGTAGGATCTGAGGGCAAGAGACTATGTGTGGTAACAGTAGATGCCCCCATTGCTCTCATCATTCAGGGAATCCTAAACCTTTGGAGTCTGGGTCAGAAATGGGGACTAAGACCATATATATATTTATGATCATATATCAAGAAGTATCAATTAACTTCTATACTCAACATGAACAATCATCCCACACACTTCGATTAAAATGGATGAAGGACATGAGCAGACATTTCTGTAGAGATCATGTACAAACACAAGAGATGGTCTTTATAACTAATCATGAGGAAACGCATTATCTCAACTACAATATCGCCAGACCCCCATTATGATGGCTACAATCAAAACAACTGAAAATAACACGAGTCAGAGAGGATGTGAAAAAATGGGAATTCTTATGCACTGCTGCTGGGAAGGTAAAATGCTTTAGCTGCTATTGAACCCAGTAAGGCAAGTCTTTGAAAAGCAAACACTGAATTACCATCCCCTATAGACTGAACGTGATGTTTCTTAAAGTTCCAATGCTGAAATCCTCCAAATGACAATCGTAAGCTTGTGGGAGGCAACTGGGTTACGAGGGTGGATCCCTCCTGAGGAGTAGTGTCCAAGCACTCAACATGGATTCGGATGGAAAGAAAGATGGGAAAAACGCATCTTCACGTGTTTGCTTAAAAATGCTATTTCCAGAACTTTATAGATTTTGCAGAAATTGCAGGTGCTATAAAGAACAGTGGGAAAGAAGTTTCAAAAATAAAAAAATCAGGTAACTTTCCTGTAAAATACAATGGAATATTTAAGTATGCCAACATGGACACAGTGGTTCCAGACAGGGTGAGTATTATTAGAAAAGAACAGTTACATCAAGACATAAAAATGCAGTGATAATTACAAAACACTCAAAAAATTATAGAAAACTGAAAACATTCTATAGAAACACCAATAACTCTCACACAACTATGACAAATTTAATGCTGTGCCTGGGATTAAGAATGTGACATAAAATTTATCTACACAGTCTCAAGGTACTGGAAATTCCCAATTTAAAACTTGTACTGAATTCAACTGAAAAAAGAGTAACTTGATATGAGGTACTAAGTCAGGTGAAAAATAGAAAATTAAGAAAATCTTTTAAAAATATTCTAAAATAAGTTTAGGATCAGGGACAAGGGCTGAGGCACCATAACCACCACACAAAAGAATACTGTCATATATATCAAACAATGTCTGTTCCCCAATGCCACCCTCTCACATAGAAAATATAAAACACTAGAGTCATCAAACATATAAAACTGATGACAAGGTAAAACTCAAATTCATTTACAATGCATAGGAATCTATAACATGAAAGAAGCAGTGGCTTAAACGAAAACAAATGATGGTAGACTTCACAGAAGCATCATTCAACTTCCTAAGGTCCCTCAACAAGATGCTTCAAAACTGTACCCTCTGAGGCAACGTGCACAGCGGCACACACTGGGGATAAGAACTGTGGCATGAATGATAGCTTAGTCAGTAGCCTCAAGAAAAAGAGGCTCTGACTTGGACAATGTTCTTGCAGGCGAAATTCTACCAGAAATTCTACCCAGTTGTGTGTGTGTGTGTGTGTTCAACATGATCACAGTGTTCTGGAGAGATGCTTACTGACATTCCGGAAACTGCAAAGAAAACTGAAAACACTTATCAGTCCGACTGTCGTGACAATGTCTATCTCGGTGTCCTGGGACATGCTGACCGCTCTACGGAGCAGCTCCAAGTGCTGCTTCTGTGCGTAGCGGGATAACATTGCAACATATAAGTCAATGTATCTCCGTCAAGCATTTTCCATGACTGAAGACACTCACTCCGTAAGAGAGCCCACCAGGAGTTGTCCATCCCCTATAGGTGGATACCAGCGAAAGACGGTGAACTATCAGACCCCAGCAATGTATAGTTCGTGGGCAAGGTTCAGAAACAAATCATGCAAACTACAGAGAATATGAAATCTGGAAGAGTCCATATTTCCAGATGAGGTAGCGTGGTGCAGATAGAGAAGTACAAGGAATGGGGTCGGACACTGCTGGATTGTAAGGGGAATGCGTGCGCCACTACAGACACCATGCTAGGAGCCTGAAAGATTGAAATGCGCTCCCAGTGTAGGACTAGGAACTGAAGAGACACCCTGTCCACTGTCTTTAGAGATTTCCTAATAACAGGTACAGAAGATCCTATCCACCTCCTTGTGACACATACCTCTGAAATGTGAAGAAAAGGCAAAAGAGATGTCTGAGTGTCCAAAACAGGTAACAGAGCACCAGCGAGCCCCATTTAGAGCACAGAGCAGAACGAAGAGACAGACAGTGCATCCCCTCTTACGAACAGACCTTCCAACCACAGGAAACGGGGATGGGACTGGAACTGGTCCAGGGGGCAGGACTGCAAGGCCTCAGCTCTGCTCTGTACAGACTGAGAACCGAGCACCCGATGAAAACCAGTCCAGAAGGTAAGACCAGGGAACAGAGACTGTGTGACAGCTCGCCCCAAACTCCTGAACTCAAGGAACCAAAGACATCACAGGGGCCACAGATCAGTGTGTTGTGAGTACAATGAAGACTCTGCCTTCCTCTCTGTTGGAACTGCAGCCCCAGTGAGGGTGAAAGGATACATTTCATACCTTGAAGGACAGAGTGGGAAGCTGGAAAGAAGAAAACATTTTCTTTGAGGGATCGCCAGAAATAAACTTCTGTTTGCCCACAGAACTTTCTTGCTTGGGCAGGTCTGCAAACACCATGAAGGCTGTGGATTCTTCTCTCTCTTCTGAGCTCTTACCTGTGTTCACACCTTCGATACGTTCCCGCCGATTTGGCTTTTGTGGTATATTCCACTCACTCTCCAGAGTCCAGGGTGCCTTCCCTTGCTCCAAAATGGAGACGATATACAGATCAGACACAGAAATTCCTGCACATAAGAAAGGAGCATCAAGATCTGTATTCTTCCAGAATCCACAATCTCCGTTTAAATGAGGAATGACTCAAGAACAAGTTTCTAAACCCATCAACTCTTCATCTCCTTCTGTGTATAGGGACCAGTGTCATATGCAGATAGGAACTCTCTTCCAAAAGCTACTGAATCAATACATGGGGATAGGAATCAAAGAATTAAGTATTTTAAGTTTGCCATAGGGCTTTACAAAAACTAAGCCCCAGAACAACCCCTAATGTGTCACAAAGTGGGCAGATCATCTGAAGAAAGGGCGAGGCTAAAGTACTGATGCCACATTATCAAGTCTTTCATGTCTCAGTAAACGGAGCTTTGATCTCTGTCACACAAGGGAAAAGGATGAGACATGCTGGACAGATCTTGACCCTTGAGGGAAGTCATCCTCACCCAGGAACAGCAGGTTCCGGTAGCTCTCCAACATAACTTCTCTGTACAAGGCCCGCTGAGCTGGGGACAGGCATTTCCACTCCTCCAGAGAGAATTCTATGAACACATCGCTGAGTGTCAACCGTCCCTGAAAGTAAATACATTTCAGCAAGGGGAAATGGTGACAGTTCTTATCTACACACAGAATGAGAAGTGCAGAGAGATGTAAAATTGATTCAAGTAGAGAGTTGTGAGAGATCCACATCAGATATTTTTCAGCAAATTATGTATCCGTAACGCTGGTTTATGTTACTTTCCCGTAAAAGGTTATGATAATACAGAAATCAGGGAGAGCCGCTCATTTTTGCAAATAATACTTGAAATTACAATTAAAATTCAACACCGAGTGTCTACACAGAAGGGTTAGATGTTCTACACACTGAGTGACACTCAGTATCTAGATGAGCTAGAGCATGAGTAGTGTCGTCAGAGATGACAAAGTCCACAGCATCTTTTAAAAAATTCAGACTCTTAAACTGTGATGAAAACAGCCATGACAAAATGTTTTAGAACATGTCCTATGTGCATTAGTCTAAATGCTTTACATATTTTAACTTGTTATCAACATAACAGCTCACTGTAGACAAACCTGTTCCCATCTTACAGAGGAGAAAACATGTCACAGACATTCTAAAATACTCAACTCAGCTCAAATCTAAGATGTGATCAAGCAAACACCTGAATTCAGGTGCTGGCATTTAGACCTAACCTAAAAAATAATAGTTAGGTAACAGACAAGACCTCACAGGTACACTGACAAAGCATTCTCTGAGAAAACCTGAAACAAATTCAAGGTCAACAACATTGAGATACATATTAAAGTCATTACATTTGCATGTGCACACACACGTGCATAATGTGATATTATTTTTCTTTCTAGTGAAATCTCACATGAAGTCAAAGAAGAAAACTGAGATCATGGAATATATTTAAGATATAACTGCTAAAAAATATAAAACTTAAGAAATGATATCATTTATAAAAACCATATACCTTTATATAAACCGTCCATGCATGCATTCAAACACATAAAACAAACCAACTGACTGAAAAGACTTGTCTCTTGATACGTTTTTTGATGACTTTATACATAGTCATTTTTATTCATGTGTATTTGAGCATCTTGGGTCAATAAAAATGTGGTACTTATTTTCATTTTTGAAGATTGTAAAGGACGCTAGCAAAAAAATTATACAAACTGAAATCGTGGACTATTTAACTACAAGTTCTAAAAGAACTTGTCGAAACATATAAATACAATTTTACCCATTTACATTGAGACATGTAGGCTTTACAACAAAAGCCAAATAGTGTATTGGTTTATTCAACTTAAAAAAAGGGTTTGAAATTTTAAGAAGTATTATTAGTGTTACACATCAATGTAAGAGATCAAGATTTCAAAAATTCTCACATTTGTGGGCACTTGAAAAACAGTACTTGAATAAGTAATCAGAACAAAAATGAATTTGTAGAAAAACCTGTCATTAACCAGGTACTTTTTGCCAAATATTTGGAAAAACGGGATACATTTTCATTGAAATTACAGTAAAGAAAGGTGGCTGACCAGAGCTTCTGCCTCAGCAGAAACCAGGTAAGAAAAGGAGGAAAAAATAGACTGAGTGGGACAGACAGTCAAAGAGCTGCAACTGTGAAAATTCATAATCGAAGGATAAAGATTGGCTAATAAGGAGAGCAAACTACAGCCTAGAGAGAGCCAGGCTCATGGAATGGAGACAAAACAGGTTATAAGACAAAAACTAACAACAGGCAAAAGACATTATGACATAAAAAGGTCCATTCTCCGAAAGGTTCTAATAATTACAAATAGCGGTGCATATAACATGAGAGCTCCCAAATATATGAGGTAAATGTTGACAGAAATGCAGGTAGAAATAGGCACCAGCACGGTAATCATATGAGACCTCACTATTTCAGTTTTAGTCATGGATACAACAACCAAACACAAGACACATAAGGAAACAGAACATGTAATATCCCCACAGAGCAATGGAGTCTAACAGACATATACAGCACACTACAACTACCACCACCAGAAAACACATTTTTCTCAAGCACACACAAAACATTCTCTTTGACAAAGCACATGTTAGCCACAAAAGAAATATGAAAAACTGTTTACAAATTGCGATTCTAAAATATATCTTCTGTAACCACAAGGAAATGACACTAGAAATAGAAGGAAAAAAAAAAAAACCCACAAAAAAGGAGAAAGTAAACAAGTCTTCTTAAACAACCAACAGATCAAAGTCACAAGAGAATGT